TTGGAAGAGTTCGGCAGCATTCGAAATAAACGTTGGTGATCCACTTCGTTCAGGAATAAAGAGCAACACAAATTGAGTGCCCCTAAATGCCAGCTAGTGCATATGAAACTTTATACGTGGTCTACCTAATTTAGCAACTGATTGCATAATTTTATTTTCGATGCTCTACACCTACTCATCCCTTACATTTTAATGTAAATGTACTCTTATTGTATGAGATTGGCTAGCTCCTTCGAATTTTGAATTACACTCCTTTAATTTTGGGCTTGGCCAGTGTCCTATGTTCAATATTAATTCACATTGCTTGATTTCGCTTCAAATAATCTCGTTTCAATTTCGCCGCGCATGTTGATTAGCCAAATTTGGACCTATAGGTATGGTTACCTTGTATGACGAGTGTATTCCATCATCATTTCTAGTGTTGCGTGTTTTCTGCGTCATAAAGTCCTCGTTTCGGTATTGTTTTCTGTTTCTAGCTTCTTACTCTCCATGAATACATCACTGTTTTTGTATATCTTTGTTAAGATCGACTAATTTTTTTGAAAATGCCGTTTTTTTTGGTACTTGTATCTTTTATATTGCCTTTAGTACAAACATTCTGCTGGATTAATTCCTATTTGACTCGTTTCTACGTCTTCATCTTCTAACATATAAATATCTGATTCACATAAGCATCGCATTTGCTACCTTGAATAAGTTTTTTAACCCTATTTTCCACGCTTTATTTCGTGTGGTTGTTTGTGAAATCGTGATTACAGTAATTCGATTCAAACCACGGCTTATTGGTTGTAATCTATATAGAAGGTTACTTAACAAATGGGAGCCTTTTTGGACAAGCCGAATACCCGAAAATCTTCCGATTCGGGGAAGGGCAATGATATTGCCTATGGCGTCTCCAGCATGCAAGGATGGCGAATGGAAATGGAGGATGCCCATGTGGCCAAAACTTTACTTCCTGGAGAGCTGAAGACGTGGTGTTATTTCGGCGTCTTTGATGGTCATGCCGGCTCCCGTGTCTCGGAGCTGTGTTCCAAGTATCTTCTTGATCATATCCTCTCCACATCGATTTTTAAGGAGTTAATTGCTTCCACTGAGAAGCACGGTGCTATTGAAGAAATTAAGGAGGGCATCGTTGCCGGGTTTATGGCCTTCGATGAGTTCATCCTCAAGGACAGTCCTCAGGAGAAATCGGGTTCCACATCGGTTGTAGCATTCGTCACACCGACGCACTATTTCATTGCCAACTGTGGTGACTCTCGGGGTGTTCTCATCAAAAGTGGCAAGGTTGCATTCAGCACTGAGGATCATAAACCCATTAATCCGAAAGAACACAGACGAATCACCGACGCTGGTGGTCATGTTATCCTCTCTCGAGTCAATGGCTCCCTTGCTGTTTCACGGTGAGTTGATATCCATCGTTCGAAGTTCACTAAACGCGTAATCAAAGTTGCAGACTGTGGCACTTGTGGTTTGATTGTGGTTGTGTGTGCGGTATTAACGATGTGCATACTTTTCAGTGACTAGCTTTGTTTCTATGCCTACATGTGCCACTATCAATTACGTCACGACAGCGTATTAATCACCTATACCTGGTTTGCATGACCTGGTGTCTCCTCTCCGCGCCAACGGAAGAGACTAACAATAGCTCACTTATCTCTCCGAGTCACACACGTCTACGCGCGGAGACAGGTGTATTATTAGTTGGTTATTGGATCCAGGGGGCGAGGGATTGGATTATGCGCTCCTGTGGATGCATCACATGACACACGCTGGCTCATTTAGCAGTGGACCGAATGTTCGCATACGCCTTAAGCGAGATTGACACACATGCACGCATAAAAAGCTATCTCTCTCGAAGTGTGGGAGGAGTGCCAGGTGCTTTAAATTAGCACTATGATTAGATGTGTGTACGCTGGAGGTCTTAGTTGGCTAGAAGCTCGGAATTGTGGCCAAGTGGGTAGTAACTTATAGCTTCTTTGTGCTTTGAAATACGGTCTCAAGAAATCGAGTGAACATTGTCATTTCAAGGCTTTATAAATA